TTTTTTTTTATTTTTTCTCTAACAGGGCTGATGCACGTAAGCAACAGCTGGAGAATCAAGAGGAATCTAGGGATATTTCAATGCCTGTTGCAGCAAGGAGTGCTACACTAGTTGCAGATCAAGATCAGCGAAAAGCTTTAAAGTTTGGATTTTCTGCCAAAAGCAGTGCATCCAAGGTATTTACAAGTTGCTTTCAAGAGTTGGAAATGGTTGTGTTGTTGCTGTTTATCTTGTTATCTGCTTCGTAAATACGTTGGGTCTTACTAATTGGAGCCCCATTGAGACACATTCAAACTGCTTGCTTTTTATCCGCATTCTTCTATGAGTACTAATATTGTTATGCATTTAACACTGAAGCAAGAAAAGTCCAACAGTATATTGGTTAAGAGAATGAAAATCCACATGTAAAAAGGTGAATTGATGTTAAGCAGAAATTACTGCGTATTTGGGTAAGGTGGCTTTTTGAAAGGCAATTAATTTGGGGAGCTGTGGAAAATTCCAAATGTCCGAGAGTATAGCTACAAAGGCTATGCTTTGGATGTAAAACCTAACTTGTACGTTTCTCTAGCTTAGTCTCTTATTTAGGTGCTGTAAATATCCTAAATATGTAGGGCTTCTGCCTGTATCTAGGAATCTAGAGGTGGAATACTCGTGAAACCTCAGCATGCTTCTCCCTTTAACGCTGTAATTCATTTTGTAAGAAGGTGATAAGAAAGGTCAAGATTTTGATATCATGGTTGAACTACTGACTTTTATTGGTCCAAACTGTAACCTTTGACGACCATATGAGCATTGTAGATATTCTTTCTGAAGCTGAGGCCGTCTTAGAAAAAGATCTTCAACTATGTCATATCAGGATTTCTTCTCGAGCATGGTGTGCTAAAGGAAAAATCCAAACCATAAACTGCATTCAGTTTAGAATCTATATCAATAGAAAAGTTTTACTGTACAAAATATTGTGCAAATATTAATACTTTAGCACGAGAATTAATAGCGATTTCACGACATGGTGTTATCCTATTACTTTCTACTATTTTAAAAAATGTCATGCAGGTAGAAATAATTGAAATCCTCTGCTTCATTTGAATGAACAAATAATTTTTTCTGATCATTTCTAGGGACTGCAGCTACACAACAATTCTTTTTCCACCCCATCTTGTCGACCTTTTGTGATTGAACGTATATTGTTTCATCAGACTTTACTGTTACTCTTTCAGCTCTGGTAAAGTGTTGCTTTTCTTGTGAAACAGAGCTCTGTGGGCAATGCTACAAAGAAGCCGAAGGTAGCAGTTGCCTCAGTTTTCGGCAATGACAGCGATGAGGAGTAGGAATAATCAATCCCTTTTTGCTGGCCATTAGTCGTTTGATGTGCGAGTATTTTATCCTGATGAATGTTCCATCATACCCGTCTTGTACTTGCGTTAGTTAATTATAACATATCGGATGGATTGTTCCTAGAGGATAACTTAATTGGTTGTAAACAGAAGATGCTCTTTAACATTTAAATAGAAGTGACTGGTGAACATGATTTTGTAAGGTATATGGGGTGCTTGTTCAAATCCTCGACTTGTTTTTCTTTCAATGATGTTGTCTTATCTGAGGGTTGCCCTAAGAGTGTAACTTTTTCTAATTTGATTGTCCTTCGCTTTATATTATAATGGAATTTAGAGTCCTTGAGGTGAAGGCACAGGGCAATTTTGCATGCTTCGTTGTTAAATTGATAGCATGTAGCTTTATCCTCCCTCTACAGCTGCCTTGTCAATTGCTCTTGGCGCAAGAGCGCTTGATCAGTGAGCTATTAAACACTCCTTTAAGGATATTTCTTGACAAATCGCTTGCTTGTCTGTTTTTGCGCTCTTACCTCGTTTATCACTAAGCAATTATTTATGGGTCTTAGCTAGTACAAGAAGATGCATACATGTTCT